ACAACTATTGAGCCTGTGCTCTAGAGCCTGTGAGCCAACGCAATGAGAAGCCAGCACGCCGCAACTACAGAAAAGCCCGCGCGTAGCAACAAAGACCCAGCACAGCCAAAAATAAAAACAAATAAATTTAAAAAGACGAAAAAACCACATTCGTCCAATGGTTTCACCCATTGATGAGCAGAGTCAGTTAATGCTTTGGGGATTATAAAATGGTAGCTTCACTAATCTATCATTCTTTCCACATTTATTAACTGAAATTCTGTAAAGAGGACTTCCCTTAATCTACTAGGGCTATTTGGTACCTAAATTACCAAATTGTTCAGAAAAGGTAGGATAATAGATAATTCTTTCTTTTCAGTTGCTGCCTTTGTAAGTAAGAATTAACGCCTTTGCAATTTCGTTTGGTGTTTAGTGAAGCTGGGTTTGTTTTTGTTGTTGCTGTTTGCCTTATTCTCTCTCATTTAAAAAATATCCTTATGAACTCATGGCTTTTTATGTATTCAGTGAGTGCCAATTTTTTTATGCTAAAATTTCCCCATCTTTGGCCAGAGGATTACTTCATGGTGGCTCCTAAGTCCTTTGGATATGACCTATTAATTTTGGAAACTTCCCTGTTTTCTGTACAAGATGTTCCAAATTCATCCTGGAGATTTCCTGCCTCAGATCTGAAATCAGACATTCCTCCAAGGAGGCATGACTTCTTTTTTAATCTAAGTGTTCTTAAAAATCAACTTTATTGAGGCACTAGGGGTTAGGATTTCCATATAAGAATTTTGGGGAGACATAATTCAACCTATATTCAACATGGGGATTTTTTTTTAATGTTATAAACAATATGAATTATTTAACTTACCAGGTTTTCCTTTCAATATTGGCTACCAGAATCAAACTTGATAAACTTTAAATTAGAATTTAAATGAAAGAATATAGTGAAGTAAAGATCAGGATCAGGGGAAAAAGACACAGCTTAATGATCTAGGCACGCTTACAAAAGAAGGACCACAAATCTCATTGTTAAAGAATCTGAAGCCGTAAATCTTTTTACGTGCAGGCTCAGCGGCCCAGCCACTCCGCGGCATGTGGGATCTTCCCGGACCGGGGCCCGAACCCGTGTCCCCTGCATCGGCAGGCGGACGCTCAAACACTGCGCCACCAGGGAAGCCCCGTAAATCATTTTTGAAACTCCCCAGAGTATAAAGAAATAAAGGGTTGCTGGGGAAGGAAGAAAGTAAGGCAGACAGGCAGTCAGAAAGAAAAGAACGAAGGAAGGAAGGAAAGATGAGGAGGAGAGGAAAATGAGAGGGAGTAAGAGAGGCGTGGAGAAGACAGAGAGACAGAAAGAGAGAGATTAGGAGCTAATCCAAATCTACACTGTTGGGACACAGCTAAATCTTGGGCCCAATGACGCTACACCCTACCCCCCATGTCCCTGGAAAATTAGTTTGGGTATATTTTTCTTTTTCATTTTCTCTTTACATATTGTAATATTATTTCTTAGGAAATAGGTAATACTATTAAATAAGAATACAGAAAGCCCAATTAGAGTTTCAACACAATCCCAGCTGCAGGGGAAATCCTAATCTCTTTGCTTTTTAGCATTCCAAGAAGCAGTCCTTTCTTTCCCGAGATAATTTTCCTATGTTCTGTTTTGTTTTGAAGATGTACATAAAGAACACAAAACTTGGGCTTCCCTGGTGGCGCAGTGGTTGAGAGTCCGCCTGCCGATGCAGGGGACACGGGTTCGTGCCGCGGTCCGGGAAGATCCCAATTGCCGCTAAGCGGCTGGGCGCGTGAGCCGTGGCCGCTGAGCCTGCGCGTCCGGAGTCTGTGCTCCGCAACGGGAGAGGCCACAACAGTGGGAGGCCCGCGTACCGCAAAAAGAAAGAAAGAAAAAAACCCCACAAAACTTAAGCACACAGCTCAGTGCTTTTTACATGCAACACACACATACTCTTACTTGTGTAACAACTACCCAGATAAAGATATAAAACACAACAGGATCCTTCATGCTTGTTTCTAGTCAATAGTTCCCAAAGGAAACCACTATTTTTCATAGTTAAATTTATCATTTTTATTGTTTCTGACTTTCATATCATACTTAGAAAATCATACTTCTCCTCCCCAATATTTTCTTTAAAATCTGCCCATATTGTCTTCTGTTACTTTTATTGTTTTACTTTATTTTATTTGTTTTTAAATTGAAGTATAGTTGATTTACAATGTTTCAGTTGTACAGCAAAGTGATTCAGTTATACAGATATGTGTATATATATGTGTGTGTATATATATATATATATACACACACACATGTATGTATTCTTTTTCAGGTTCTTGGGAAGCTACTTTTTTTTTTTTT